TCTGGTTGTGGGCTTTTCTTTGTTGGGAGGGTCATTATTACTGATTCAATTTCCACCTTGATTATGGGTCTGTTTAGGTTTTCTGTGTCTTCCTGACTCAATTTTGGTAGATTGTATGTGACTGGGAAACTATCCATTTCTTCTAGATTTTTCAATTTGTAGGCATAGAGCTGTTTGTAGTAATTTCTGATGATTCTTTTCATTTCTGTGGTGTCCATTGTAACATCTCCATTTTCATCTCTGATTTTTTTCTTTTTTTTTGACAGGCAGAGTGGACAGTGAGAGAGAGAGACAGAGAGAAAGGTCTTCCTTTTGCCGTTGGTTCACCCTCCAATGGCCGCCGCGGCCGGCGCGCTGCGGCCGGCGCACCGCGCTGATCCGATGCCAGGAGCCAGGTGCTTTTCCTGGTCTCCCATGGGGTGCAGGGCCCAAGCACCTGGGCCATCCTCCACTGCACTCCCGGGCCACAGCAGAGGGCTGGCCTGGAAGAGGGGCAACTGGGACAGAATCCGGCGCCCCAACCGGGACTAGAACCCGGTGTGCCGGCGCCGCTAGGCGGAGGATTAGCCTAGTGAGCCGCGGCGCCGGCCTTCATCTCTGATTTTATTGATTTGAGTCTTCTACCTTTATTTATTTATTCATTCATTTATTCATTCATTCATTCATTTTTTGGTTGGTTGGGCCAATGGTGTGTCAATTTTATTTTTTCAAAAAGCCAGTTCTTCATTTCACTGATCTTTTATATTATTTTTTGTTTCAATTTTGTTTATTCTCTAATTTTAATTATTTTTTTTCTCCCACTAAAGTTGGGTTTGGTTTGCTGTTGTTTTTCTGCGTCATTGAGATACATTGAAAGTTCATTTATTTGATACCTTTCCAATTTCTTGATGTAGGCACCAACTGCTATAAAATTCCTTCTGTAACTTCTTTTGCTGTATCCCATAAGTTTTGATATGTTGTATTGTCATATCCAGGAATTTTCTGATTTCCTTTTTCATTTCTCCTGTGACCCACTGTTCACGTTGTTCAGTGTCCATGTATTTGCATATCTTCTAGAGATTCTTAAGTTGTTTATTTCCAGGTTCGTCTCATTGTTAAGTCAGAAAAATTGCATTCTATATAATTTCAGTACTTTTGAATTTTCTGAGACTTGCTTTATGGCCTAGCATATGGTTTGTCCTAGAGAATGCTTCATGCACTGATGAAAAGAATATAATTCTTCAACTGTGGGTTGAAAGGTTTTGTAAATATCAGTTAGGTCCATTTGACCTAATGTATAGTTTAGCTTTTTTGTTTCTTTGTTGATTTTCTGTCTAGTTGATCATTCCATTGATGAAAGTGTGGTGTTAAAATCCCCTTTTTTATTGTATTAGAGTCTGTGTCTCCCTTTAGATCCATTAACATTTTAAATAGCCAGATGCCCTGGGATTAGATGCATATAAATTTATTTTTTAAAGATTTATTTATTTATTTATTTGAAAGGCAGAATTACAAAGAGAGAGAAGGAGAGGGAGAGAGAGAGGTCTTCGATCTTCTGGTTCACTCCCCAATTGGCCACAATGGCTGGAGCTGCACCAATCCAGAGCCAGGAGCCAGGAGCTTCTTGCAGGTCTCTCACGTGGGTGCAGGGTCCCAAGGACTTGAGCCATCTTCTGCTTTCTCAGGCCATAGCAGAGAGCTGAATCGGAAGTGGGGCAACCGGGATGCAAACTGGTGCCCATATGGGATATGGCACTGCAGGCAGCAGCTTTACCCGCTATACCACAGTGCCAGCCTCTGCATATACATTTATTATAATCCCATTTTCTTGTTGAATTGATCCCTTAATCATTTCATAATGCCATTTTTTGTCTATATTTTAACAATTTTTATTTAAAGTTTAATTTGTCTGATATTAGGATGGCTATACCTGCTTGCTTTTGCTTTCTGTTAGCATGAACTATCCATCCTATAACTTTCAGTCTGCTTGTCTCTTTGAGATATATATCTTTTAGGCAGCAAATAGTTTAGTCTTATTTTTTAAATATTCAGCCAGTCTGTGTCTTTTAATTGGAGAATTTAGGCCATTTACATTCAAGGTTGCTATTGATAAGTAACGACTTGGCCTTGCCATTTTTCTGTAAATATTCCTATTGTTTGCTTTGGATTTGCTTTGGATTTCCTTTGTACTTTTACTGGGAAATTCTCTCCCTTCACATTCTTTCATAATGATGACTATCTTTCTCTGTTTTCTGTCTGTAGCAATTCTTCAGTATAATTTGTAAGGCTGGATGAGTACACCTTTCCCTCTTTCAGATTCCCAGAGACAACTGTCTTCCTCCCGGCACTATCCCCTTACTCCTTTTGCATAGGGATCTACCTGACTTTTTCTCCCACAAAATCTCCTCTTCCCTGCCAACTCCTCTATTTTTAATTGCCCCTATTTCTGGTGATGTCTCCCATGTTAGCCTTTCATCTTCACACACAAATCTTCCTTGGTCCTCTTCTTTAAGCCTATTCTTCTCATTTCTCCCCAATTACCTCAGGAATGATTTACCAACTTCTTTGTGTTTTTGCTTGTTCATCTTCTTCCTCGCATTAAGGAAAATTTTAGATTGTAAGCTTTAGATAAGGTACCCAGGTGTCTATAGAGTAGTTCCTGACACTGCATCCACTCTGAGGCTCCTCATCTTCCAGTGGTCCCACTATAAACTAATTGGGGGAAGGGACTGGCTGGGTACCTATTTGAAATCTTTTTTTTTTTTTATTTGACAGGTAGAGTTATAGACAGTGAGAGGGAGAGGTAGAAAGAAAGATCTTCCTTCCGTTGGTTCACTCCCCCAAATGGCTGTTACGGCTGTCACAGCGCCAATCTGAAGCCAGGAGCCAGGTGCTTCTTCCTGGTCTCCCATGCGGGTGCAGGGGCCCAAGCACTTGGGCCATCCTCCACTGCCCTCCTGGGCCACAACAGAGAGCTGGACTGGAAGAGGAGCAACCGGTACTAGAACCTGGTGCCCATATGGGATGCCAGCACCACAGGCGGAGGATTAACCAAATGAGCCATGGCACCGGCCCCCGCCTATTTGAATTCTTATTACAGTCTTTTGTGCACCAGAAACAGTCCATAAATATTTGTTGATCATCAAGAGGAAGTGAAATCAATTTCACCTAGCATTGAAAACAAAATTTGTGTGATTAACTAATATGCAGTTGCATTTTGTTTCATTGCTAGTATTGTAGAAATATTTATTCTTTATAACAAATGTAAATAATATTGCTTGAGTATGAATTAAATGTACTTTTGCAAAATTTATAGTACCCATTTACTATAGTATTTTATGCAAACCATACTCAAGTTCTAAACAAGTGCCATTTCAATAAATAAATTATAAGATAGGGATGGTCTATTCAGAATTATTCTGTTTCTGACTTTTTAAAAGTAGATTTCGTTTTTGGTAAAGGTGCTTTGTATTTCTGTTATTAATGAGTGTTTTCTTGTGCCATTTGCCACACATATTTTGAAGCTTGCTGGCTGGAGCCAACTGGAAATTTGTCAGTGAGTCTGAGTATTATTTTGAGGAATTGCTCATGATTAATTAATTTAAAAACAGTATCCTGAATGGGCTCTGTCTTAGCAGTGAAGATGCCCACATCCCACATTGTAGTACCTGAGTCCAATGCCTGGCTCTGCTCCTGACTCCAGCTTTCTGCTACTGCAGACCTTGGGAAGCAGCTGTAATGGCTGTAAGTGATTTGGTTCCTGCCACCCACGTGGGAGACCTGGATTGGGTTCCCAACATAGGCCTCACTTGGGGGGCGGGGGGCGTGGTCAGTATTTGGGGAGTGGACTGGCATATGGTGGCTCTTTTTCTATCCAGGTCTCTGCCTTTCAAATGGATAATTGAAAAATCAAAATGAAGAGAAATAAAAGTCAATACCTAAGTTCTCTCACATGCCTGCCTATTCTGCCACTGCTTTGTTTTGGACTTCTGTGCTTCTTTACTGACTATTGTGCTAGCATCCCACCCTGTTTCCATAGGCAGTCCTTCCCTGCCTAGCCCACCCATGAAGCCTAGACCATTGCATGTCAGAAACTCCATGTGGGGGCCTGTGCTGTGGTGTAGTGGGCTAAGCCTCCATCTGGGTGCTGGTTCATGTCCAGGCTGCCCTTCTTCTGATCCAGTTTTCTGCTATGGCCTGGGAAAGCAATGGAAGGTGGACCAGGTGTTTGGACCCCTGCACCTGCATGGGAGACCTGAAAGAAGCTCCAGATAGACCCAGCCCTTGCCATCATAGTCACTTGGGAAATGAACCAGTGGATGGAAAACCTTTCTCTCTGTCTCTCCCTCTTTCTCTCTGTAATTCTGCCTCTCAAATAAATAAATAAAATCTAAAAAATAAAAAAATTTAAAAACTCCATGTGAAATCCTTATATTTCTTGTCTCTCTTCCTGCAGTGGTTGAAGTTTTTGCTTCAACCACTCACCATTCTCTAAGTCATCCTTCCCTGTCTACACTCACCCCCGCCACAAGTATATGTCTTTCCATTAAAAATGTTTAGAGATCTTGAAGGGATGCAGTTCAAAAGCTAATTCAGGAGGTTTCTCTGATCATCTTTTCCATCCATATAGATGGATTCAGTCATTCTTATTTCTCCTAGGATCTTTATACTTCCAGAATTTGACATATGCTGCCTTCAGTTACATCATAGCTAATGGATGCAAGCTGCTTAAGAACAGTATGCATGTCTGGTTAATGTTGTACACTTCTTAGCAATTAGCAGAGGGGTCTGCTCAGAGTTGTGGCATTAAAAACTATTTTTGAACAGTTACATCTCAAGATACAGCAATTTCAGTGTGCTTTGTCTAACCTTGTTTACCATCACCTGGGTCATTGCATATTTTCTTTCACAGGATTTTCTCTAGATTTTAAGACTACAAGAGCAGCCCTCTTATTTAAGAAATAAAATTATGTCTTTTATTTGAGTATCACATCCGTGAATTGCGTGCTTTCTCTTGGTAGCCTCGTGTGCAAGCTGAACACAAGGACTACCATCTTGGCAGCAACCAACCCTAAAGGCCAGTACGACCCGCAGGAGTCCGTGTCTGTGAACATTGCCCTTGGCAGCCCTCTGTTAAGTCGATTTGACCTGATCCTGGTTTTGCTTGATACTAAGAATGAAGACTGGGATCATATAATTTCCTCCTTTATCTTAGAAAATAAAGGTATGTGAAGACAAATCATTCAACCTGACCAATTAATTAAGGAAAATTTCCTGTGAAGAAAATGAAATAAATGTCCAAGGCACCCTGCCCAACAGGCAGTAGAGAAGTACTTAGCAAACAGTGACAGGAGCTGGTTAGCAGGCCCCAGAATACTGAGTAGAAGGGACTTCTTCTATTTGCCATTAATGAGATTATAGTTGGGAAACAATATCCTTTGTGATGAGAGGGCCCAAACTTGGGATGTAAAATTACCATTCACCTCTTGCATACAAAGAAACCTAGACTGAATTGTGAGCAGAAATCTCTAAATAAGGGATTTTCTTTCAATTAGATTTACTCAAGTACTATTTATTACTATTGGGAAGACCAGAATTATTCTGAATAATTTTAACCCCTACAGGAAACTTAACTTTTATTAAACTAAGATATTCTTAACACCAGGGCAGGTATTTGGCATTTTAGTTAATATGCCAGTTGGGACTCTCGCATCCTATATCAGAATGACCGGTTTGAATCCTGGCTCCACTTTGATATCTGGCTTCCTGTTCCAGTGGACTCTGGGATGGTTTATGTGTTTGGATCCCTCCCACCCATGTAGGAGACTTAGATTAAGTTCCTAGTTTCCACCTTCAGCCCTGGCCCTGCCCCAGCTGCTTTAGACATTTGGGGGAATAAAGTAGATAGGAGCTATCCTATCTGCCTCTCTCTCTCCCTCACTCCCTCCCTCCCTCCCTCTCCCTCTCCCTCTCCCTCCCTCCCTCCCTCCCTCCCTCCCTCTCCCTCTCCCTCCCTCCCTCCCTCTCTCCCTCTCAAATAAATAAAAGTTAGATCCTAAGAAGGCTTATTCTAGAACTCTATGCTGTGCAGAGAACAGGGCTATAATTCAGTAGCCACAAAACTAAAAGTTCCTTAAAGATGAGTACAAGAACTTTATCAAAACCCTTAAAATGAAGTGTTTGTTCTTAGAATTTATTTACTCATGTGCAGGTTACCCAAGCAAATCAGAGAAGCTCTGGAGTATGGAAAAGATGAAAACCTACTTCTGCCTCATCAGGAAGCTACAGCCCTCACTGTCTGACGTGGGCAATCAAGTCCTTCTGCGCTACTACCAGATGCAAAGGCAGAGTGACTGCCGGAATGCTGCACGGACAACCATCCGTCTGTTGGAGAGCTTGATACGATTAGCAGAAGGTACTATGTGCAAGGTGCCAGGCTGGGCACCATGGATTAAAAAATGAATTAGAGGCTGCCGCCACGGCTCACTTGGCTAATCCTCCGCCTGCGGCGCCGCACACCGGGTTCTAGTCCCGGTTGGGGCTTCTGATTCTGTCCCAGCTGCTCCTCTTCCAGTCCAGCTCTCTGCTGTGGTCCGGGAAGGCAGTGGAGGATGGTCCAAGTCCTTGGGCCCTGCACCCGCACGGGAGACCAGGAGGAAGCACCTGGCTCCTGGCTTTGGATTGGCGCAGTGCGCTGGCTGTAGCAGCCATTTGGGGAGTGAACCAATGGAAAAGGAAGACCTTTCTCTCTGTCTCTCTCTCTCACTGTCTAGCTCTGCTTGTCAAAAAACAAAACAAAAACAAAAAACCACGAATTAGAACAATCCCTACACAAAGGTGCTCAGAGACCACTTAAAACATGTTCTCCGAACCCTGAGACTTCCATTCTTCTAAGATCACTTTGTTGAGTGGAATGTAGTGTTATTAGGAAAGAAGGATCTTAGGACATTCTGTACCTTAAGATGCCATTTCTGCAGTTCTGTTTCTCAGTGGCATCTCTGTTAGCATTTAGAGTGGGATAGTTTTTGTGAGGAATCGTTTCCCAAATAGCATCTCTAGTATTTAACTCAGTAATTTCAGGTGCACTCTATCCTTCTAACAACCAGAGCAAAATGTCATGCCCTGTCCCTTCCCCAACGCATAAGCTTACATGCACACATGCAACTAGTTGCAACTCAAACTTTGTTGCCTTGATACTGTCTTTTATATTTTAGCCAATGTTTAAATAATTCTTAAAAATATTCTTGTGAACTGGATGTATCATATGATGAAATAATATATGCTTAATGAAAAATATGCTCTATGCTAATAGTAGGGCAAGAAATACCCATGCCTCAGGATTGCTAGTTTTGTGACTTTGAGAAGTTCATTGATAAAAAGAAGCACCAAGGATGAGAGTTTTAATTTTGTAAGTTTCTAAAATAGATTTAAAAAATGGGGATTAAAAATTGCTGAATAGTTAACAGAGATGTTTATATGGCCCCATTGTGTGTTAGAACCTGGAGTATCTTTACATGTAAATACACAAAATTGCCTGGGCTGTGCAGATTAGACCCTTCGTTAGAGAAACAACCTTAAAATTAGCTGGACATTGACTTTTGTGCTTGTTCTAGTAAAACTAATTTATAATTCTTACCTAGTTCATTAAATACAATCTGGGGGAGGAAGTCAGACAGAAAATGACGTTTAAATGTTCCTGAAAAACAAATGTGTTTTGTTTTCTCAGCTCATGCCCGCCTAATGTTTCGTGACACTGTGACTCTGGAAGATGCTATTACAGTGGTTTCAGTAATGGAATCTTCAATGCAGGTAAGGATTTTTTGTGTATCTAACATTTAATAAACATTCTATATAACATGTCAAGAGTTATAGAAATGATCATATTCTAGATCTAATAACTCTTGAGAATATATCTTGGAGATAAATGCTGTTTCAGTGGGATGACTGTGCCCATGGATGGAAAGTAGGAGGGTCTTAATCCTTTTTCTCAGCATGGCTGAAGGATGGATGCTCTTGGTCCCACTAGTGACATTATGGCTTCCTGGAACAATGACTGCCACCATGGACTGGCGGAGACAGCCATGGAAATTTGAAAGGGACTCTCAGATGATTCTGATACCCAAAATGGGGATGTGGTGGGCTGGGCTTAGCTGCCTGGGGTTGCTGATTGCTAGTGTAGAAGTGTAGAAGCGTGGTAACTCTCCCTGGTATCTTCTCTCCCTCCAGGGAGGAGCACTGCTAGGAGGTGTGAACGCTCTCCACACTTCCTTTCCTGAAAACCCTCGGGAGCAGTACCAGAGGCAGTGTGAACTTATTCTGGAAAAGCTAGAGCTGCAGAGCCTCTTGGGTGAAGAGCTTAGGAGACTTGAAAGGTAAGGAAGAAAAAAACCTAGAGGGATATAAAATGGGAAAACCATGTTTGGCACTTAGTGAAGCAAAGGAAGTATAAACTAAGTATGAAATCTATCTGTACTGTTTGTAGGGGATTGCGTCAGGTATTATTGCAATATAATCAACCAGCCAGAAGTCAGTGGCTGAAATAAAACCAATACTACTTTAGTATTCACTCTTCTGGGAGTTAGAAATTCAGGCAGGCCAAGTAGGGGGGTGGCTTGTCTCTGTTCCACATCCTGAGGTTCTGCAGTACCAACTTAGGAAAGACAAGCAATGTTTCAGAATATACCTTTCTTAATGACTTGTTGAATGTGGGTAATAGACGTGAAGACACAATGAATGTGTCACATGCATTAGTCAAGACACAGGTTTCTTTCCTAAATACAAGGGAACTTTAGAAAGTTAATAGATAAATTTATGTTGGTGCAAAATCCAGGCATTTTTTTTCCATAAAATTTGTTTTCCATGAAGTTTCTGAAGACCTGTCATACATGAGCTTCAGAAATGCTAATCTTTGAGTCTGTATCTGAGAAACAGGAATGAAGAACGGCAAGTTTACGCATTCAGGTGTCTTTATGATCAGTAGAGTGACTTCCTGATTCACCTTAACCGGTTTTTGGTGTTGATCTTAAAGCTGGGGTCTGGTTCATGAAATGTATGTGGAAGTGGGGCAACTTCAGGAGAACTTGGGGACCATCCTGGAATTGTTCAATATGTCAGGTAAAACCTTGAGAGTTCCTTTCCCACTGTTTTCTTTCCCAATCATTGCCAACTCTTCTCCTATCATCATTCTCTTTCTAAATTATATCAAACCTCAGCAGCCTTCCTCAGGATGTGTGGGCACTGCCTTTAGCCTGTAATACCAAGGTGCCAGGCTGTGGTGAACTTTGACTAATACTTGTATAAGGTCGATGCTGTCCCACCCCTACCTTTCTGTGGTCGCCTAGCTTTTTCTATGATCCAGAGCATGGGTCTAAGAGCAAAGTTATTCCTTTGGGCCATTTATGGTCTATTGTAGCCTGTCCTTTTCAAGCCCCTCCTGAAATTGGCCTTGGCTTTGGAGAAGGGCTGCTCATTTTGGTTGACCTCACCTTCTCGAAACTGACATATGTTGGATTCATAAGGGAAGGAAATGAGACACTCACTGTGTGTTAGAAAAATAGCATTTTGGGGGGCTGACACTGTGGCATAGTAGGTTAAGCCTCTACCAGCAGTGCTGGCATCCCATTTGGGTGCTGGTTTGAGTCCTGGCTACTCCACTTCTGATCCAGCTCCCTGATAATGTGCCTGAGAAGGCAATGGAAGAAGGCCCAGGTGGCCCCTTCACCCACATAGTAGACCTGGAAAAAGCTCCTGGCTCCTAGCTTCTGGCTTTGGGTCAGCCCCCCCTCCAGCCATTGTGGCCATTAAGCAAGTGAACTAGCAGATGGAAGACCTCTCTCTGAATCCGCCTCTAGCTCTGTCTGTAACTCTGCCTCTCAAATGAATAAATAAATCTCGTTTTTCGAAAAAATGAAAAATAGCATTTGGACTTCCAGATTCAAAATGACCTTAGAGGGAAAGAAGGTTAAAAATAAAACACTATATATATATGTATACACATACATACATACATACATACATGTTTTTTTCTATTGGTAATTCTTTGTAATGCAGAGCCATGTTACAGTGTGGGTCCTCAAATGAACCAAGCCAAGTAGGCTACTGCTAAGACACGTTCTAAAACTAATCTTGTCAAGTGAGAAAAACTGAAATAACATTTGGGTTTTACTCTTTAGGAGAAAGCTCTCATTGCCTTTAGATGGTTGCATAATTATAATAAAATGCTTTGTATTTTCTTGGTATTTTTTTTCCAGAAAATACTTGACTAGGGACAGTCTACCTCAACTAGTGGCTGTTCTGTCCACTTCAAAGCAGGGCAACGATACTATTTTTTATGAAAGTATAGTAAAACTACAGAAATTTTATATAGGGGACATTTTAACTCCTGAAACAAAAATCAGAATAAAATGATAGGGCTAAGTTATTTTACCTCTTAATTTTCTCACCTTTTTTCACATTGTTGTGGAGCTTTAATGGTTATGAGTATCCCTGACTCAGTTTTATGCTGAGTAGTGTATTTGTAGTAAGTTTGAAAGTTATTTGCTTTTTTGTTTGGTTGTAACTCAAATTAGTAGCAATGAAATGTGGGTTTGCTGTGAATGAATTTTACACAATATTTTTACAATAATGCTTTGTGGATTTCTTCTGATTATAAAGGTAGTACTTTATGGAGTATTTTTGAAAGTAGCAGTAAGGAATTAATAAGAAAAAAGTCAGTTGCAATCTTTTTGAAGAAATATGTGAGGGTACTTCAAAAATTAATGAAAATGGAATTAAAAGGTAAGTTTATTTTGATGCAAAAAATATTTGAAATCTTTGGATAGCTTTTGTCATAGATCTAAGGTCATGGAAACTGCACACTATGAAAAAACTATATATCAAAATTTACTTTTGTTTTCTGTTAACATTTGAAACACACCTGTATACTGTTTACATTTTCATGCATCTAAATGTATTCTTCCTCCATTTCTATGCTCACACATGAATTTTGGAATAGATTGCTCATCTGCTTGTGGTACGTCTTTTCAGAGTTAGTACATGCAAGCAGGGTCCTAGCGTACTGAACAACAAAAGAGCGTTTGGGAAAGGCTTTCTGAAGGACCTGTTATAGAGAACTACAGTTCCTGATAGAAACTGGTCCTACAGCATTATTTACAAAGAGTTAGGGAAGTAGATTTTACATCTTTATCAAATTCATGAATGGTAATAGCCCAGAACTGGTATTGAAACATGCCTGGGCCTCACAGGAAGTGTGTCACAGGTGTGTCTGCCATGAGTGTGAACGTGCAGAGGGTAGTAGGAGACCCAACACCGAGATGTTGCACACTCTTGGCTCCTGTGGAAGGTGACTTTTTAGATGAGCTAAAATTCAGAGACGTGAGAGATCATAATCTCTGGTCTTTCACTCTGGTTGTGATCTACAGCCTGTTTTTATTGAATAACTACAGCAACAACTACCTTGGTCAGCAGTCAGCTGCTGGGACAAAGATGTCTGTCTCATATTTGAGCATTTAGCATGAGAAATAAGACTACGTATTTTACTCTGATATCAAGCAATGTTAAATGAATTGAATGGACTTTCATAGAGAGCTAAACATGAAGACAAACCTCTTGTTTCATTTTCTTTATTTCACTGCAGCTTCAAGTTAATTTAGAATGTTTATCAAAGCACTTTAACTCTACTTTGATAAAAAGAATCATTTCTTTCTGCTGCTCTAGAGGACTATTCAATATTAACTTGGAATTATGTCGGACTTAAACCTTTGAGATGGCTTCTCAGAGACCAAAGAGAGAAAAAGATTAAAGCAAATTCTCTTCAGTACAGTACATATGTCCCTTATTTGTCTCTGCTGCAGGTTACAGAATCAGAATGTGCACCCGTCCCAGCCACAGGCAGTGGAGTCTGCAGAGGCTTCTCCAGGATCCTCAGGAAATGATTCAGGGGAACAGTCACAGTTCAGAACTTCCACACCACAAGAATTGACCTGTGGCATGCATACCTCCTCTCCTGGAGGCATTCCCAAGGGAAGCCTACTTCCAGATCCCCCATCCCAGCCAGGGCCCAGCACATCAACAAGTAGAAAACATTCAGCTGAGCACAAAAGTGGCAGAGATGATAGTTTGGGCTGGTTTGACTTCAAGGAAACTCCTCAGATTGAACCTAAAGACTCTGTTCTATGTCCTGGTCCCAAAACCAGTGGGGAAGATATGGTTTTGAAAATCTCTAACAGCAAACTTCAGGGAAAGGACAAAAGTGCACCAAGCCAGAGGAGAAAATTGGAAGCCAGGCAACTTTCATCACCAGGAGAGACAGATACTCCACTAAGGTCAGGCAAGGTTGAAGGTAAAAAGGCAAAAACGGTAGCACTAGTTTCTGCAGCAGCATTACCTGCTGATGAGCCAGACTCTGTACCGACTCACCATGTCCCTAGTGAACTGCACAGAAGGCACAAGAAGCGGACCCAGGAGTTTTGCAGAAGCACTGCCAGGGTACCTTCCATGCCCACAGCCTCTCACAGCCCAGAAAGAACATCAGAAACTCCCAAAAGAAAGAGACCAAAATCCCATGTTGAGGCGGAAGAGCCTGAACTTGAAAGTGTTGAGAGCCCAAGTGCCCCTCTGACCAAACTGGCAAAATTTACTTTCAAACAGAAATCGAAACTGACCCACTCCCCTGAAGACCACAGCCATGTGTCTACTGGCACAACTAAAATAGCAGTTCACAGTCCTACAGTTTCTCAGCACAGAACCAAAAAAGCAGCAGCTCTGCCTGCACAGGCTCCAGAAATGCTGGCATCTACCTCAGGAACCAGAAGCTCAGCCCAGCTGCGGGGTAAGGCGAGGGGGCAGCCACGACAGCCACCAGAGAAGGACGAATCAAAAGAGAAGAGGGAATATGTCCCTGAAGAGAGTGTGATTCTGCCTGAGCCAGGGCCTGGGGGCGACTCTGGGCGTTCTCCTCGGATGCATGAGAGAGGCAAACAGGAAGAGGTTTCAGGCAACAGTAAGAGCAATAAGGTTCATTCTGGTACCTTAGCCAAACTGGCAAACTTCTGCTTTACTTCTCCGTCAGAATCCAAATCAGAATCCCCTCCCCCTCCTGAAAGGAAGAACTGGGGTGAGAGCCACCCAAGTGCTCCTGCAACCACAGCCACCGCACTGGGCAGTAACAGGAAATCTTTTCAGCTGCGGGGGTCAACCGAGAAACTGATTCTTGCCCCAAACCCTCTCTTTACTTTACCAGAACTGGATGATGAAGCATTAGATTTTGATTGGGACGAAGAAATGAGAAAAAAGCCGTGCCTGTGAAAACCTTCCCCGACTGCTCAGCATCTTCGGGATGTATGAGCGTGGGTGGATGAGCATAGGAACGTTG